CGAGGAAGAATGCGTACTATATATGCCAAGATTTTTTCCATTTACTATTGATATTATTTTTAATTATTGTTAATGCGTCTTGTCTACAGATTTGGTGACTAGCTTGCGTTCCGGTATCAATGGCCTTTTTAGCTAATAGGGCAACATGTTCGTTGTATATAAGACCTATATGTGCTTTAACCCACAAAAAATGAACAACTCTTCGGTTTTTATAAATGTCATAAACAAGTTTTTTAATTTGAAAGACATATATATTTGAGTTATTACTAGGAAAATTTAAAGTTTCAATGGCTAACATAACAGAGAATGAGTCAGATACTATTGTAACAGATGTATTCTGAGTGTTTTCAATGTATCTTAATGCTTCATATATTGCTACAGCTTCAGCACTAAAGATTGAAAAACTAGGATTTAATCAATAAAGTTTTTCTGTATTAGTTAATGGAATGTAGAAAGCACATCCAGTACCAACAATAGACTTTGAGGCATCCGTATAAATAACTAAAGAGACTGACAGACTAGATAAACAGGACCTCAAAATATTCGAGCTAACAGAAGAATTTACATGGTAATTCGGTTGTATCACAGTAATGGGTTGCAAGCACGAATAAAAATGTTCGATGTTAAGATTATCCTCTGATTTAAAGTCGTAATCAAAATTTGTCAGGCTTCTAAAAGCCTCACAAAGTGGAGGTGAGTTCTTAAGTCTCCAATATCGATTAGTTAAATCTTCTTCGTTCAATTTTCTGATATTTGAGTAGAGAGCAGTGTTACGATTTTGTATATTATTAACAAACTTTTGACTGAGGTATTCTCTTCTATAGCCCAAGGGATTTTCCAGAGCTTCCACATGTAGAGCATTTATTAGCGTCGACTTCATGGCACCTAAACAAATACGCAATGCTGCGTTCTGAAACACATCTATTGTTTTCAGAATATGTTTACTTGCTGAACCATATAATATGCATCCATAATCGATAATTGATCTAATATAAAATCGGAAGAAAAGCAAAGAAGTTTCCACATCTGCACCCCACCATGTTTTTGTAATTGATTTGAGGAAATTTAGACCCTTCTTACATCTATCCAACATAAACTCAACGTGAAGTTTCCAAGTTAACTTACGATCGAGAATCATTCCCAAATATTTAATTGAAGAACTGAAATTAAAATCATACCCATTCAATTTTACCTGATTTAGTTTTGGGATATTGTGTCGAGTGAAGATAATAATACTTGATTTACCTGATGCAATTTTAAACCCATTTAGTTTGAACCAATTTTTGGATCTATCATGTATTTTTTCTAAAGTTTGAATGCAGTTATCGTATTTTTTGGTAGAAGAATACATAAGAAAGTCATCAGCATACTGTATTATTTTAAAGTTGATATTTTTAATGAAAATGTTATGTAAATCTGCAGTATAGATATTAAACAATAGAGGGCTTAAAACTGATCCCTGCGGTAGTTCCTGTTTATTATAACGAGGACCTATAAGTTTATTATTGTTTGTTGTCAGGTAAATTTTTCTGCAGGAATAAAAGTTAAGAATAGTGTTTACCAATTGTGGTGGTATATGGAAATTTTTTATTAATTTTTCCATTCAAATATCGAGACAAACACTATCATATGCTCCTTCTATATCTAATAAACCTCTCTGTAGAGGCAGTTCAATTTTATGTACCAGCAGTCACGCATGGTCTACTACATCGGTCATAAAAGAAAAACATCTGGATGCATTTGGTTTCAATTTCAATAAAATAATGTATTGTTTGTACTTTTTTTTAACATTATTTATTTGTCTTTTTTAAACTAAACAAATTTAAATAAATTTAAAATTAGAACATAACATATTAGTCTTCAAGAATTATTTTAAACAAAAATCATCAATAAAACATTATTTCGCTAAGACTTATCATAAAAAATATAAGAAATGCGAAAAATATAATAAAACTAAGCCGGAATATTGTTAAAGTCATTGCAAATTGAATTTGCATGTTTTAACAATGATACTTTTTCCATATCGAACAAAAATATTTTGTTTTTCGATTTTTTTTTCTATCCGCAGTCACCACACCTCCCAATTGCTCCCGGAGTTCTTTGAACTGTCACGACATTTTCATCCAAATGACAGATCTTCTGTAGTCGAATCCTTATTGTCTTGGGTATTTAGACATTTTGGCTTTAATTCTTTTGGTGGTGTATATAAGGGCCAAATTTGTCAAAACTTCTCGTCCGGTCTTTGTATAATATGGAATGTTACAATAATAAATAACACAGGAATTTATTGCTGTAAAATTTAAAAGGCTGTATAAAACAACCATATGCCACGTGCCATACTACAACGTGCCACATCATATTGTGCAAATAATTTATCTATGGTATTAACACCGCTTTTTGTGCTGTTATATGCTCATATAATTTCTGGTTTTTTAGTTTCAGGATTAACATCCTTCCTATAGTGTATAGTGGAATATAACAGAACGTTTTATTTTTGGTTTATATGACACTAGTGTTTCTCTTAAACCAAACCAAAATGTACTAGAGCCAATTCTTCTTCTTCACGTGCCATCTCCGCTACGAAGGTTGGCTATCATCATGGCAATTTTGACCCTGGAGGCTGCCGCTCGGAACAATTGTATGGAAGTGCAAGCAAACCACTCCCTGAGGTTTCTCAACCATGACATTCTTCTCCTACCTATGCTGCGCCTACCTTCAATCTTTCCTTGTATAATTAGTTGTAACAGTTGATATTTATTCCCACGTGTAATATGTCCCAGGTATTGTAGTTTTCTCATTTTAACACTCAATACGACCTCCTTTTGTTTGTTCATCCTGTCTAATACAACTTGGTTACTTATCTTATCCTTCCAGGAGATTTTTAACATTCTTCGGTACTAGAGCCAATAGGTCATTCTTAATTGTTAGATATATACAGGAATTTCTCTTCTATTAACTTTTATTGTTCCTAAGAGAGTTTAACCATTTTCCTTTAAGCTTATACCAAGATAAACGCTGGTGTACCATTTGTCAGTGGTAATGTTTATCTTAGATCCGCAGTAATGTTGACAGGCCCGTTCCGCCACTGCCTTCGTACTAGTGTCTAGATAGTATGAGACTACATTATAATGCGCTCCCTAACTTTCGCGTGATTGGTTGGTGGGTGGGTCCCAATTTAAAAATTGGCGGGTTTCATGTTTATTAAAATGACAATAAAATTGAGGTATTGTGGCACAGTATATCGCTAAACAATTTATTAGCAATATATTGTGGTATTGGTACAAAGCAGATGATATTCACATTTTAGGATTAAGCTGACTAGTACAGTTTTATTAGAAATTAAAATTTATTTTTCTTTTGACATTATGTAGGTAAAATTAAATTCTGACATTGTGTTTATTTAATTTTGATATGCTAGTGATGCTTTTTTTATTATGTATATAGATATTGTTTTAATTTTTTTGGTTAGGTAATTTTTTATTAAGATTTAGAGGTTCCTCTTATTATTTTGATTTCTAGAACATTCGTTACCATTATTATTCGCATTAGCTTTCTTTATGTGGAATCGGCTTCTCTAAGTATTTTCCTCTCTAAACTTTTCGGTTCTCTTCCAGGGACTAAGTACCTCTCCGCTTTTTGTATGAGATTACGGTTTTTCAGAAACATGTAATTTCTGTTCATCCCCTTTTTTACTGCCCTACATTCAGTACCATACATCATAGCTGGTCTAAAGGCAGTCCTATACAATTTAGGAGAGCTTTAAAGGGGTTTTCCTTTGCCATTGCACCAATAACGGCCCCCCCACCTTTGATTTCCGAAATTTTTAATAAAGAATAAAGATATTTTAGATCTAGCTATTTAGTGTTTTATTTGGTTTGCAACCGTTATTTCCAGTCAACCTCTGCTTCATTTTGTTGACAATAACAATTTTTCATAGCACTCAATTCACAATATATCTTTTTATTATCCTACATTTGTAGTAAAATCTAACAGAATTCCGTGTAAGGTTCTAAAAAATGAAAATGGATAAATGTCAATTTGGATTTAGGCAAGGCAGGTCTACAACAAGCAATTTTTATTAAAAGAGCTAATTTAACAAATTAGAGTGAATTTACATTGTATTATTAAACTTGAGAAAGCACATGATGAAGATATCAGAAACCTACTGTGGCAGAGATTAAGTAGGAAAGGAGTACCGGCTGAATATGTGAGTGTAGTATGAGTAAGTAACAACTATAATAGTGTTAAAACAACTATTATAGTGTTAGTAGAACGATTACAGGTGAAACTGGCAAATGTTGTGTAAAAATGGGTGAAAATCAGGGTTTCGCCCATGAATATTCACAATGGAGTTCCCATTAACAACATTAGATATGCGAACGACACTATGATTTTAGTTGAAAATATTGAAGATCTTCAGAGATTGGTGACAAGAATAGGAGAAGAGTATAATTTGACCCATATATGGCCCCTGCATATGATCTAACTGATTGGAATGATGATCTCCAGTAAACATTAGTGAGGATGTAGCTAATTTGATTTCTAGACTTAGCTCCAGGACTTTTTCACGTCCCTACTTATCACAGTGTAAATATTACGCCTTCGACATTTTAAACCGATTGGTAAAAATATTTTAAGTATAACAATATTATCTTAAGATTTGTAGAAAGAACTCGTATCACAGTTACGTATTATAGTAAATAAGAACACCTATTTGTTATTTATAGATTTTTTTACAACTTCAATATGTAGCAAACTGAATGTATATTTTTTGTGGGTTAAAAGTTTTATTACATATTTTTAATTCTTAAATTAGGAAATTTCTTAATGGTTTAACACAAATAAAACATCGTTCTCATACGAATTTATGAAAAATGACAATGTTCACATATTTATAGTATGTTTTAAAAGTAATATTTGTCGTTCTTTGTTGTTAGTACTCGTAAAGATCAAGTTTTATAATACACAAAAAGTTCACATATTAAATACTAAAAACTTACCAAGAACGATTGCAAGAGTTTTAGTAGCTTTTCTTTCCTTTTTCGCCGACGATTTCTCTCGCTTCTTTCTACTTGCTTTATTAACCTTGTATATTGTAAATCTGGCAGCAGCTGTGGCTTTTTTCTCTTTTTTGGAGCCTGTAGAACCCGCAGCCGGAGAGGAGGCTGCCCGATTCACAGCTACAGGGCTGTTGGCCGAGTTTATCATCCTCGGCACCGCTCTGAAACAACACAACACATGAATTATTTTTTCTATTTGGTTTGGAGCTTTATTGCGAATAAATCATTCTTTCTAAGGATTTCAGAACACGTTGCGTAGGGAACGGTTCGCCGGTAAACATAATTTTTAAGTTACCCTAAAACTTTTATAAAGTTTGCCTTCATATTTTTGGTTGTACATATTATCTGAATCGACAAAAAATTTAATAACTCTAACACGAAAATTAGATAAGCGGATCATTTTAAACTTATTTTGCAACAATTTATTTTATGTAACAGAAAATTTATTATAAAATCTATTCACTACAGCAGTGTCGGCAGAGTGCCTTCCTCAAGTGATCTATTTTTGGTATGCGTTTACAGTTTACAGTCTTTAACGAAATAGGTTGAGGAGAAGAGAATTGTTTGTATCAAGTTAGTCATTCAGAATTATGTATGTGTTTTTTTATTTTTTAATTTTTATAGATTTTAACAAAGATAGCTTAAGGCCTTTATTTTGAATGTGAAGAATTTGAATTTCGTCATTAAAAGAATGATTTTGACCTAGAAAGTGAAGTGCGTATGTAGAATCTGTTTTTTTTTATTATTAAAAGCCATTTTATGTTCCTCTAATCGTTTATTAAAATTTCTACCAGTTTGACCAATGTAAGTTTTTGGGCAGTCGCCCCATTTAAGTTTGTTTACACCACTGTGCAAGTGCTTTTTATTTTCGCTCTTGTTGTTTCTAATATATTAGCCTAACTTGTTGTTTGTTAAATTAAAATTAATAATAAAATAGTTAATTAAAATTAAATGTAACAACCTGCCCCGTGTAACAACTAACCCCGGTCTCCCTCAAGCTATTAGTGTTTTGTTTGTAATTAGCGATGTCGGAGCTTGATGGAATTTAAAGTTTAGAGATTAAGTAATTATTTAACGCAATAAAGAAGACTTTTTTATTGTTTTTATTTTTGTATTGTTGTTGTTAAGTATTGTACTTTGAAAAATAAGGCTATTATCGAGCACAAGTTTAATTAAATCTTGCCCAAGTACTTTCGCTTAAAATAGCATCTTCAGGGGCATCTGGTATAAGCCAAGAAAACGTTTTTTAGATGAAGGAAATCAGTTAACTTCGATAAAAAACTCGAAGTTAATGGATGAAAAAAAGTTTTTTGTAATTAACGTTTTAGATTTACTTCGTCAAATATGAGCCATGTAACACTACACTAAAACAGGGACAAACAGTTTAAAATTACTTAAAAGATCCTACGCACTACATTCTTTGTCAGTATCAGGAGGGAGAATGATCTAAGCGGAAATGATAAGGTGACATTTGACATATGACAGCTTTGATAGGCAGTCACAGTCATGGGTCTGTGATCAGCACATATTAAAATTCTGTATAGGTTAACATTGGCCTAAGGTCCAACTAAAATTACTATAGAAAATCAGCTTATGAAATATGACATATAGAATATTTTGATTTAAACTAGATTGCATAATCCAGATCTCACACTCACACCCATCTGTAATGATAAGGTTGTAGGTTTGAGGCTAAATGAAGTGTACATAAAGTGTGAATGAAAGAAATAGACCAAACAATCTATTGGACAGTGGATGGTTGACTACAATAAAATGGTCTACCATACACTATCAATATTGTAAAAACGAGAAGAAAATTAACTATGAAATTAAAATATTAAAAATTAAATCAAAATTAAAAGCAATGTATAAATGGGATATAGTTCAAGTAGTTTAGCTAAAATTCAAGCCAATGGAAGAACTGTAAAACTAATATGTATTAGCGTTACTAAAGACCAACTGACCAACAGTGGCAGGTGTTAGGTATTGTACCTATAGTATACTATAATCTGCTTAGGTTATACTTATATTTTTTCGTGGCTTCCAGTATCTCTTAGTTGTTCCATTTCGGGATAAAATAGAAAAAGGAAATAAATAGAAATAAAATAATAAAACTAATACAAATATCCTTTATTACCTATCAAACGAAATAGTATGAAAATTTATCAAATAAATTCCATGAGCTTAAAGCTACGGTTTGTTAGAACAGTAGAAATTAAAATTTAAATTATTAAAACTAATATTCAATAAATAATCTTTATAGAAATTAAAAAGTCTTGAGATTTTACATTTCAACTTTTGTTTGGAAAGTAATAATAATAATATGACAGATGTGACGTCACACTCCGGCTGTCCATTACAATTTCGGTATAAATGTTTTAGCGTTTACGCTACTGATTAACCCCTCACGAAAATTTTTGTGTTCCGCCAACGATCGATTTTTAAATGGACATTTTTCCCCACACGCGCAGTAGTCGCTTAAAAAGGAGGATTGGTCGAGTTTGTACGAGAACGATCAGTTTTGGTCAGAACTCAACGCAGCCACGGCAACCGGTGAAATTTTTTCACCTTCAAAGTGACGGAATTGGAGCCAGGAAAATAATTTGGGGAAGAATAAAATAGAAATATTAATAATAACAATTAATTTTTTAAAATCAAGATTTTCTAATTTATAAGAGTTCCATATAAAAAGGAAGAGTTGTTTTTGGCGTGCTGCGGCTCCATGTAAGTAAATAATTTCATACGTATTATCTCTTTATCATATAATCAAATTTATCATTGCAGTTTAGTATTTCTTTAGAGATTTATTTTTGAGTTCCGAAATGATTTAAATATAAAATTTCCTTGATTTACTTACAAAGAACATAAGGTCATTTTTTATATAGTTAAATTTAAATTCTGTTTTATTCCATATCTTATCAGTAAGTTTTTTGGTTCTTTTTTCTCTCACTTTTTTTTTGGTGGAATATACAAGGTTTCTACAGCCTTCTGTGTTCTGCGCGTGTTCATTTCATGGCGCAAACCTGTCATGTCTACGAAATGAACTTCGAAAATTTTGACATTTTAGACCTCTAATGTTTTGATGTTTTGTTTTGGTGCAGTCAATCCATGCTGCTACACCTATTAAATTACATTTATTAAATTACATAACCTTTTTAGATTCCGTTACTTCACTTGAGAGTATTCTCTTGAGAATATTCCCTCAAGGATACTAGTAACAAAATTTCTTGAATAGTTAACAACTTGGTTATGGAGTTACCGATTTCTCGGGGCAGATAGACCAGTGCCTGGTTTGACTAAATTAGATTCCCCTGGGTTTGTCCTTACAGCCACAAACTGATGTAACCGTGCCAAGAGGAATTTTCCTATGGACTTATGGGGCTGTAAAGATAAGTTGTTTGACTGTGTAATTTTTTTTGTTACTATCTATTTTGTTAACTTTTCATATGCATATGATCAAGTGACTACATTTTGATAAAATATAATTTTGATATTATTGGGAGAGGGAAAATACCTTTCATGTTTTATAAAATTTTATTTTAATTAGGATTTCAAGAGTACTGACCAAACTCACTTTTGCTATAATATATTTTTTTAATACAATATATTTGATATAATACAAATTTTGATATTGGGGGAAGGGAAATAAATTTCATGTGGTTTTTTTTAACATTATATAAGAAGTATTGAAGATTCACTTTTGAATGTAATATATTTAATAGAATTGTAACAGATTTATCACTTTTGATATCTTTACAATATTGTCATTAGTATTTCATTTTAGTAGAACTATTTAAATTTAAATTACTAACCTTTATTGTTAAGACCTTGGCTACCATACGGACTATTCTTGTTGTTTACTAATATTTCACACTTTATTTGGCCAGTGGTAGACTATTCGCTTATTGAGGGGCTATTAGGTCCTATTATATCTTTACACACCCACTACCACTGTTATTTAGTTTTGCTTTATATGTAAATTGTTCATACATATATATCTATATACACATTTTTATAAATATACTTATTGTTACTATTTTGAGTTATTTCAGTTCTACTAACCAGTATATAATATAGCAAGACAAGATTAGTATTTAGTATTTTGTATTTCAGGTTATTATCTCCAGTATCATTTGTTTTCGGTCATTTGTTACTTCAAAATCTCAACTATTGTTGAGTTGGCGCCCTTCTTTTCTCTTCTTATTGTCCTTTTTCTATAAATTTATTCCCAGTGACCTTCTTTAGTTGTATCACATTTGATATTAACTAGTCTCATTTCGTTTCTTGTCTCATTAGCTCAGTATCCTAGCTATCTGTTTATATCTTTAAAGCCACAATCCAGTGCATTGAAGCTAGCCCGAACACTCACTTGAGATTTAGTGTCTCTTTGGCCATTTAACTTTGTTCCTCTGAGCTTAGCCCTACCTTTAGTATTTTCATCACCTCTCTTTCAGTTCTTCTGGAATTTGGAAGTCTTATACTTCCTAAAATTCAATACTCCCGGAGTATTGAGGTTTCAATGTGTACGCTGTCAGCTCAGCTGAACGTTTGCGTCCAAATAAAATCGCAGTTGATTCCAGCGCACACCGTCGACGTACACGGCTATCGGTCTGCAGTGTGCGTAGCTCAGCTAAACAGCTCTTCTAAACAATTTTCTTTGAAAATAATAACGGTTTTATCTTATAGTTTCTAAATACAAAAACTACCTGGTGGCTTTGGCCTTTCCAGCGAAACAAAACACAAGGCTTTTAAAATATAATATCTACAAATACCGGGAAACAAATTGTCTATAATCGTTTTCATCGTTCTTGGCGTGTGCGTGTAAAAACACTTGCAATAAGTTGTTTCATCTGTCTTTCCTTGTCTAAGCTCGATTCGTTTACCTCCTCCAGTGGCGGAGCACAATGTAGCATGTCAAAGGAAATAATAGTTATAAAAGAAAACTATAAATTATTTTTCATTAAATTTCTAATAACGGAATATACGTATGAATTGCGGAGAAGCATTTCTCTAGCGTGCAGTACAATAGGACAGGATATAAGGAAAAGTACATTTTAAAAGAATTTTGAAATATACCCAAAAAAGTGTTAATTATTTAACCCACTTTAATTAAAAAATGATACAGATTTTTGTAGTTTTAAGCACTGTAGCGAATTATGAACGGTTACAACGTACTGACCTTGATTAATTAGCTAATCAGTCAGCGTCTTCACTGAAAATGTCTTCATCATTGGAATCTTTCGCCAAATCGATGATAATCCTACTTTAATTTTCATCATATGTGACCATTTTTGCCCAGTCGTCCTGAATTAATTTTTCAGTATGGTTAACACAACTCAGGCCCACACTGCAGGTGTTGCCTCAGCTAATGCATCGCCCTAAACTTTTTTCACTGTTTTATCTCCACGTCCATGTTCTCCAATATGACGATCATAGTATTGTTTAGAAATGCCCCAGACCAACTCAATCGGATTATATTGACAGTGATATGGAGGTAATGTCAAAACCTGATGCCCATGTTCTTGGAGTGGCTCGTCTATAACGTACCTGGTATTTTGTGGTTTATTCTGGCGACAAAGACTCAATAGCTCTTGCGCGAATCGTCGTCAAAAATTATTTTTTTCGCTCGTAACCATTTTTGTAAGTCCGATTTTTTCCAAATGGCATTCGGTAACTTCTCTATTAAAGAGCTATGGTATAAGGCATTATCCGTAATAATTAGAGATGGTTCCTCCAACATTGGTATCAGCTTTTCGGAGACCCACTTTTTAAAAGACTCTTTATCCATAGAATCATGATAGTCTGCACTCTTCGATTTCGTAGAAAACAGTAATCAGCATTTTTAACAAATCCTTGCCTACTTCCGGCATGTAAAACAACAAAGCGTTTACCTGTATTTTCGTGTCCTTTTCTCATGCTTTTCACACAGTCATCTTGCCAAGTACGTTTATATGCCCCTTTTAGGAATATCTATGTTTAACCAAAAAAAAACGAACTCAAGTGGGCTTGGAAAAAATTTCTCATATAATGCCTCAAAAAATACAGTTGTTTGGAAACAATACATGATTTCTCACATAGCACTCGTCTACTATTTTCTAGTTTGTATGAAAACCCACAATTTTTTATAAGACGCCACAAACTTATATCAGAACCGTCATAAAGATGCTCGTTTCTTAATTGTGTATTTAGAACTTTAATTGTAACGTGCTCTCCTTTTGCTTTCGTGCCATACAATACATTTCTAATCTCTCCTTTTATAGTATCGCTGACATCATTGGTCTTTTTTTTGTACATTAAATGACTCTCCTGGTGTAGTAACAGGTGCTCCTGTCTTGTATTTACTCTTTATTCTTGTCACTGTGCGAAGACTGATTTTCAAAGCGTCCACTACTCGTTCATGTACCGATGATAAAGAAAGCAAAGGTCCGTTGTTTTCTTTTTCTTTTTTATAATACTCCAATAAATGAACTACACATTGTCGCATTTCTCCTGTAATCGTTTTTTCCGGCATTTTTTTCATTAAATAGAACAATTAGTTATTCACAACAAAAAATAATAAGTAAAACTGTTTGGAACAAATTCCAATAATGAATGACTAAAATCGACTAAAACAACATAAAATATCAATAGTAATTGCTACAATTACAAACCTATTAGCCAGATCATTCAAAAACAATGTTACAAATCATTATTGCAATGGGTATCGAAAGAGAGAGAGTCAATTTATAATAAACTGGAATTTTTAAGGTGTACTGAGTATTATTTTATGTAATATAATTCCATACACTAAGAGCTTAAACTATTAATTAATTAAAAACTGTTTACTTAGAAAAACTATTTCATCAGCTACTTCAAACCTGTGCAGATCAGGGTAACATATTAAAAAAAAAACACGTCACTGCCAGCTATCTGTATTCGTAAAGAGGCCGAACTTATCATCGACACCGTATCGGCCAAACGCATCGATGTTATAGCTACAATACTGGGAGACGTGAGTGGTCTCTTTATTCCCTTCTCATCGCACTTTACCATGACGAACGTGTCTCGCACAATTGAATTACGCATCTGTGTATCAGAAAGAGACGAATATTAAAAATTCCGTAGTAGCTTATTTCAGGCACACGCCAAGAACGATGAAAACGAGTTTATTCACATTTAAGTATTTACTAATGTTTTTCCGTCCTCAGGGTAAAACTCATTATGGATAAATCCACTGCTTAAAACTAACTTATAACATATATCTATAAATCGATCTACAGAGTGTTGCAAATTTATGTACCCGCGTTCTATAACAAAATAAAATTTTTATTCTATATTTCATTGATAAAATGAAACATAACACTATGTATAGGTATTTTAGATAATGAAACAACTAAAATACAAACAAGTAAAGGTCTCACATGGCTGTATTTGATAGATTAAACATTTTTAAGTCTTAAATTCCAGTTTGTTTAAAAAGAAAGGGGAAAGGGAAAAGAAGTTTTTAATTAACATGTTTTACAGGTCCTTACATATGGTGCAAAAATACTCCGACAAAAGGAACAATAAATAAAATAAGAAATACACAACACGCTATGGAAAGATCAATGTTAGGCATTACCATTACAGATAAAGTACCAGACCTAGAAATAAGAAGAACATGACTCACGGATGCAGTTGAAAAAATAGTCATGGCTAAATGGGCTTAGTCCAGACGTGTTGGCAGATTGACGGATGATAGATGGACCAGAAAGATTCTTGAGTGGCGACCAAGACAAGAGGAATATCAAAACAGAAGACGACTATCGACGAGATGGTCGAATCATATAAAGCGAATTACCACAAACTAGATGCAATAAACTCAAGATAGAAATCGGTGAAAATTTTTATGGGAGGCACACGTTCAGCAGTGGATCAATATAGACTAGTTGATTAAAATAGGTATTTTATTTATATACCCGGTATTTAGGCGGCACACACCCTTCTGGTAGGGATCTATGGAGAAGTATCACCGAGCTGCAAGCCCTTATCTCTTGCCGTACTGTTCCACCATAGGCCGATCAGATACCAGCATATTCTAGACTAAGCCGCAGATTCATTTAGAATTTTAAACTGCTGCGTTGGCCTTTTTTGTTTTTCTGTACACCGAGCTGGGGATTTGAACTGAAATCTCTCGCATTGAAGCGAAGGAAAAGCCAGTCGCCCAGCCCGCTTGGCTATCCGATCGACCGACGATAATAAGTATCTTAAATGCAACTAAATTATCATCATCGATATTTCAATAAGAATATGTCACAAGTGACCAAGAAATGTAGTACTTCGTCATCTATCTGAAAAAAAGAAAATAGAATGATTCCGAGTAATATTAAAATAAGGAATGTAGGTGTGAAATAAACAATTGTTGTATAAAAATACTAGCGGGCTAGGGCATATGACAAATTAATTTCGTGTTGTTATCAAAACAATCATATGCTATCAAATTTGTCCCAAAAATATTTTCTATTAAATCTACTCAGACAAAGCGGAATAAAGCAAACTAGAGCATCTGTGGAAATTTTAAAATGAAATAAAACACTTGCACTATTTGGGATCCAGTTTATATCTTCAACAAAAATTACCTTAATTCGGTATCCAATGTCGAGCCGTTCTTCTTGGAAATATTTCGTAATCTTCTAGGACTTTCAATGACAGAAATATCTGGATGGCTATGAACGTAGCCCGAATCGTTATTTCCGTTCGGGTCACCCATTGGGACGGGAAGATTAGCCACTACCGTCGATATTCTGCAAGAGAAGGAGAAAGTAAATGAAGGTGTGCCGGTGAAAAAGGTGGATGACAAATGCAAGCAAAAAAGGAACCATATAGAAACTACAATATTAATTACTACTAAATGGTAAGTGATGAAATTAGCATCCAGGTATTTATTATATATTTTTAATTCAACAGTACTTTTCGTATTTTATGTTTGAATCGGTATCATTAGGATCTTATTTTCGCATTTCCGCATATTTCCTGCCTCATTAGACAGACGGTCGGTGACTGTTACTGATTGTTTCGCACAAGTCGTGGAAGCTACAAGAGGTGCCACCTATTGCGGTATGATTTAACAAAATCGAAACACGATTCAACAAAATCGGTTTCTATCCTTTTTTGTATTATTTGTAGAATGTAAAATTTACACTTCAGCAAAAGCTTTATTTGCTATTGCTATAATAATTTGAAAAGCTATATGGCGCAACAGTACAATCCGTTAAACATTCTGAGTATGAAACGGTATCATTAGGATAGGTTCTTTTAAACTGAAATTTTCCAAAAAAATCTCAACAATCTTAAAGGTGTCATCTTACCCTTACTTCAGTGTTACAAGGTGGCTGCACACTTTTAATGTTTTTACTACTACATTTTTATTTGCACAGAAATCTTTTTTCAGATTCGGATTTTTATGAACCAGATTTAGAATCGCAATTGTAAATGTAAATGCATATTATTATATAGTATTTTAATGTCACTGAGTTTCTCTGAGAGCTTTTCTGTGTCAAAAGTATATAATGTATACAATATATATGACTTAAAACGCCACCCTAAGGTAATTTTAAACTTGTGGTTCTAGTATCAAAAATTTCCTCGTTTACTTTAAGGTAAATTATAATATTATAGTATAACTCTATTATTATTTAAAAAATTAACAACTACATTTGATTCGTATCAGTTCTTGATGTAGAATTTCTAATTTCGCTTTGTCAAAGGTTTCATTGATATCCACAAATAACACTATGATACAGTATTAACTGAACAATATTATTTACTACATGAGTTAAATTTTCTATCGTAAAATTTGCTTTTCCAAATCTTCATCATCTTTTTCTTGAGAATCCTTTGTGGATCCTGGCCTGTTATAAGATTCCTCACCTAATTATAGGTAGGCCTCTTCGTCTTCCTTTTACAAATGTTTCCGTGGTTAGTTATTTAGCGATTTTATTGTCTGGCATTCTTATTATGTGTCCAGTCCAAGTTGCTGTGTGTTAATTACAGTTAGGTACATTATGTATATCTAGGTCATGTTATCAAACTAGGAAAACCAAATCAAGATACTGAAATTAAAAGAAGAACACAACTGGCTTGTGGCGCTTTCGGCAAACTAGCACATATCTTGAAAAATACCTCCATTCCTATAAACTTAAAGAAAAAGGTGTATAACACATGCATACTACCAGTTTGTACCTACGGCTTGGAGACAGTAGCACTTACCAAAAAATCTGCCAAAAAATTAGAAACAACGCAAAGAGCAATGGAACGAATCATGCTTGGAATATCACTAAGAGACAAGATTAGAAACACCGAGATAAGACGTAGAACGAAGATTAGAGATATTGTGGAAGAAATTACAAAAATAAAATGGCGCTGGGCAGGTCACGTAGCCCGATATAATACACGGTGGCCAGACAATAGGTGGACACGGAGAATTCTAGAATGGAGACCAAGGACGACAACAAGAAGCATGGGAAGACCTCAAAAAAGATGGGTAGATGACATAAGAGCAGTGGCAGGCAAACAGTGGATTAGATTGGCGCAAGATAGAAAAAGATGGAAGTAATTGGGAGAGACCGACATTCAGGAGTGGATGGAAAATGGTTGACAAAGAGAATTACCGTTACGGCGTCTGGCTCATCTTTCATCTTTCTGCGTTGGAGCTCATGCTTCTCTTTCATATAAGAAGATATAAGAAGACCTGTGTCAGCAGTGTCCTGTATTTTATAATTTTAGTTATTTTTTAAGTGTTTTGTACGAGAAATTTGAGTAAAGGTACTTTAACTTGAGTGAAGTTTTTTTCTTCTTTTTATTTTTTCGCTTGTTTTGTTGACACTGTTGATAGGAGTCACCAGCAAGTTAAAGAATATAAAGTTGTCAGCATATTTAAAGATATAACTTCTTAAGATTGTTTCTCTTCTGAGTTTGCTATAGGATCTTAGTAACTAGCATGTATTTGTTTTTTCTTCGTAAGCGACTAGACCAAACTGTTTCGCCACAGTTCTCAAAGTTACGAAATAAGATTTGCATCGATCTATTGTAAACAGTAACGCCATCTCCAGTTTACATGGCTTGAACTCGCTTTCCTGAGACAGTATTAAATTTATCCCTGTATCCTCACCCTTTTTTGTTAGACATTGTTATTACCTTAGTAAAAAGAGTTTTTCTGATAGACCAAACTCGTGCAACGATTGGTTTAGTACTGTCTTGACATTGTTGAACGTGGCTTTGAAGTCGACGAAAAGGTAATGAATTTTAATGTTAAAATCTAACGTCTTCTCAAGGATCTATTTAATTAAATAAATCAGGTCAATTGTTCATATTTCTGCAATGAATTTGGCCTGGTATATTTCAAATAGGCATATTGTGTAACCTTGTAGCCTTTCGTAGATAATATTTGCTAGTATTTTGTAAGTAGTTGTTAAGAGGTTAATATCTCTGTAGTCTCACTATAAATTAACAGTGCATGGTGCCGTATCTCTGTAGTCGCTCCATAAATTAACAGTGTATGGTGCCATTTTGTCAGACAAAAAATAAAAGTTTAAGTAGTATGCATATGTAGTGCATCGCTACCATTCGTTTAGAGCTCACTTTAGATTTAAACAGTTCCCGATGACTGAGTATTCTTAGGCTTTTTAATGGCTTGAGCAACCTTGTCAATAATAGATGCTCTTTTGTTTGGGTTAAATAGGGCTTGAATGGGATGAATTACAAGCATTTTTATGTGCTTATGCAATATCTGCTTCTTCGTGATAAATATCATTAAAATGAGTGGGCGTGCATGATTTGGACGCTAAATTTAAAATTCGACACTGAAAAATAAAATTACCTGTTTCTGCATACATGATTAAGACGCTGGGTGTAATTGAAATGTAAATGGAAAGTCAGGTAATAAAATTCTAGAGATTAAGCTTGATAAGGTTTATTTGTCACTTTGAAATAAATACGACATACATTTTACGAATTGGAATCGATCGATACAGATAGTTTGATACTCATGTATCCTATTTCTAACGAACATAATTTTTTTTCTACTCTTTGGATCTTTAAGTCTATTACTTTCACTATTACAGACCCTATTAATTTTAATGTAAGTTTCAGTTTGAAAATTTTTTAAAACATCAATAAAATGGAAAATATTTGGATGAGCATGGTAAAAATTATCATTAAAACGCGAGTGGAACGATTCACAAGCATTAGTTGTTAATTGTAAACTCTCACTCATCGCAGCCCACATCTCCGACGGAAATGTTGCGTGGTCGCCAATGTAGTTGTCCAATAAGTAGTCGGAAAACTTTTCAATTTTTGAATCCTTTGGTTGAATAGCCATAAAATCATATATGAAAGATTCTTCGACTTCTGATCGAGGTAAAAATGGCAGCCCAAAAATATATTTCAGCCATTTAGATATTTCACTGTCTGCCAATTTATATTCCCGAATTAAGCCACAACCACCGATATTACGATACCAAGCTTGCATGAAAAGATGAAAACGGCACCCTTTAATGTGCACATTTGGAAATTCAAAACCCGCAGCATTGTGGATAGCAATTTCAAAATCGGAGAAAATGATTTTTGGATTGAATTTTAGACCAATTACTTCACATTTGCGTTTCAAAACATTAAATAGTTTTATATAGGTTTGTTCCGATTTGTCGGGAAGTAAACAATAACACAACGGTATATAATGTCCATTAATAAATACATGTATGGTAAAAAATTGCTTGAAATATTGAGCACAGTAATTAAATGTACCGTCCATATAAATCGTTTCACTGCCGCACAGAAAACGCATGTTAGTGTTACACGAGAAGATGATAGTGTTAGAACTTAGTTCAACCGCAAGTATAAAATTCTCGTCTTTAAGTGTTTTGATATTCATAATATTTACCGCAGCAATAGTTTCTTCTTTACTTTTGGGCAGTTTCGGTTGAGCCATTCGCCGTTCACTGTATATTTGATTTCGTATTAAATTAACGTCTTTAACAGATATGTGGCTTAAGCAATCTACATTTTCTTTCAACACACTATGTATGATTTTGGACGGCCTTTCGGTCAAATTATCCTTAGCCTTCCTTTTGGCACTGCTACGCACAATCTGTCTATTAAGCGTCTTGATATCACACTCGTGATTACGTTCTAGATTACTTCGGATCACTAACTTTTCTGGACCTTTCGTGAATATCTTTGCTTTACACGACCGTTTTACGCACCTCCAATACGTTTCTCCCGATTTTAGTACTTTATCTTGAGAAAAAGTAAAACTGTTCACTTTGAGCAAAATTTTACCACGATTACTTACTAACGTTGAAATTTCCATGTTCACTTTTCACTATTCTCTGACAAACTAATAACTAGTAACTAAGTAAATTTCAATGACCATCATTAAACCTTAATTATATCTAATATCTGGTACCTGCGATAATCCTTCCGGCAGCGTCCAAAACAAGGGTACTTTTAAGACCCTCAGGTACTTCAGCGTCGAAAACATGCCCGACCAATTGAGCAAAGAAAAATACAAACCATCGCGCATTGGTTTAAGACTGAAGCTGCTTCATTCAGGATATTTATTTCACCATCCTTACAGCTTTTTATTCTTGGTTTTTCTTTTGTAATTTTGTTTAGATTACTGTAAAACTTACGAGCTTAGTTTTGATTTTTGAACCCTTTTAAGCTTTTTAACTGTTTGTTCTAAAATTTTTCCTTTTCCTTCTATGGAAA